TTATATACAAATCTATGTATACACAAAGNTGTGTGTGTGTGTGTGTGTATATTTGTATATGAATCTGTAATAGAACACAAAATCAGCATTTATATACAAATCTATGTATACACAAAGCCCTCTTATATATTAGGTTCTTTGAATCCTAAAGCATTAAAAAAAAAAATCTTACGGTTTAAAAAATTATTCCCAAATTTAACTTAAATTTGACTCCAAAATCAGTCTGAATTAAACCCGAATTAACTAACTTGAATTCAACCCGAGTCTGTCGGAATTCAACTTGGACAATATTTGGGTTGAATACCTCGAGTTTAGGTGTGATTTCAGTTAAGGCTAGGGTAGATCTCTCAACTCGCCTAAGTTGCACCCCTCACCACATAGGTAAAGGTGATGGGTGGGGGTCGAGAAATTGGACCAAGATCTAATTGAGTCTCATGTGATATATTACATGAAAGTGTGTCGGGTAGCAAGAACGGATAGATCCTCTCTCAGATGCAANTGAGAAATTTGGACCAAGATCTAATTGAGTCTCATGTGATATTACATGAAAGTGTGTCGGGTAGCAAGAACGGATAGATCCTCTCTCAGATGCAAGACCCGGTTATGTCGGTGACACATTAGCTGGTGGTGTAACGAGTTCATAAAAATGTGTCGTTATACGTGAAATCGGAAGTAGGATGCCCTCAAAATTTGGTGGAAGTGCAATAATTATCTACTCCAATAAAGACACCAAAATTAATAAATAGTCATTGGAGATGTATGACAATTGGAGGTGTATAACCCAATAGTCATGGCACTGTATATTGTCTCGTACATGAGAACTCGGTAGTGGATTTGTGGTTGGACATGTGTTCATAATACTTCATTCATAGTTGTCATGTTAAGTGTCATTTAAATGTTTTCCTTATTCTCAAACCTTTTGTATCAAGAATTGATCATTGTTTCGTGCGGTATTTTTTTATTTAATGCTGGATTGCATAAAAGTGGTCAACTTAAAGCGAATGACTAGTATTCCCAAAGTATATATTATGAGCTTGGATTTATAAATCAACCTCTCTAACTGGTAAAAAAGTTGTCTATCATGTTGTCACCCGTGCAAGCATAGCAACATATTCCCTTCGCAAAGAAGAATGATTGAAAAATGAGCAGTGTGAGTTGAGAATCTTCATATTTTTAATAGTTCAATCTTGTTGGGCTAATCCACGAGGTTTTTTAATCAATTACCCATTTTGTTCCCCGACAATAGGTTTTTTTTTTTAATCCATAATATAGTACTTTACTCTGATTTGTTATTTGATATTCAAATTCAAAAATGACATATATAGTTTTTTCCAGTCTCTAGAAAAAATGTTAAAAAATAGTTTTTAAAAATCTCTTATGTAGTTGAGGTGCACGCACTTGTCCCAAACACACGCCTGAGGAACTTTTCATGAGGTTTGCTCTCAAAATGGTTGTTAAACCCAAAAAATCTCGAGGTTATTTCACTTACATTCACACCTAGATAGCCCAAACATAATTGTTGAGCACAATAGTCACATGTTATTATTTATATGAGTTAACCGTCAAAATAATCACATCATGTTTCAAGAAAAATTTAAATTCATATATTACATAACAATACCTAATTCTTCTATGGGTANGCACAATAGTCACATGTTATTATTTATATGAGTTAACCGTCAAAATAATCACATCATGCTTCAAGAAAAATTTAAATTCATATATTACATAACAATACCTAATTCTTCTATGGGTAACAAGCTTAACATAATACAAAACACATCAATAAGAAGCAATAATTAATTAGGCAAACTATCCCAAATTGCATGATATTTGAATTACTATGATAAACTTGATAAACTAACAGGTTATGTAAATAAGAAATTTGCATTCTTGCCCACCATACTTCATCTGCTATTTTTCGTTTCTACAAAAAAGAGGGGTTAATTGTAAATTGCACCACAAAAGATTGTTCGAATATTAATTTGTACCCCCAAAGATCACAAATTTTAATTTGCACTCTCAAAGATAGAAATTTGTATCAATGTGCAACCCCAAAGATTAAAAATCTTAATTTGCACCCTCAAAGATAAAAATTTGTATCAATATGCAATTAAAACTAACCATCGGCAGTTTGCTGCCTAAAATTAAATTGATAAATTTTATTTACATCCCCTCATACTTATCACTTAATCATTTGAACCACTTCACATTTAAAATATTACGCCTACATCTCATAACGTTTGTGCACGTGTAACACGTAATCCTTTTTCGTTGATATCTGTTAATATAACAGTTAAAAAATATGATTTTATCTTAATAAAAAATTATAATTTTATATTACCCTTTATTTTGTGAGTCTGATATTTTCTAAAGTTCAAAATCAAGCTTATCATGTTAATGTCCAATAGAATGTAGATATTTATATAATATTTTTTATATGCAATGCAATATATTACTTACAAATAATTATTTAAATGCCCAATTGGGGGGACATTTTAGATTGAGAGTATTTTTATTAGGATTTTATAACCGTTACAAAATATGATTTTATCCTAATAAAAAATTACAATTTCAAATTACCCTTTATTTTTTGAAGGGGTTCAAATGATTAAGTGACAAGCATGAGGAGATCTAGATATAATTTATTAATTTAGTTTTAGACAACAAACTGACGGTAGTTAATTTTAGGTGCGCATTGATACAAATTTATATTTTTGAGAGAGTAAATTAAAATTTTTAATCTTTAAAAATTTTAATTAAAATTTAAACGNATACAAATTTTTATTTTTGAGAGTGTAAATTAAAATTTTTAATCTTTAAAAATTTTAATTAAAATTTAAACAATCTTTCGATATATAATTTATAATTAACCCTAAAAAGAGTGAAAATATCTTTTCTATCATACTACGCCGTGAATAATATAGGAGTCAAATGAATGATACATCTAAGAGAGACGGGTGGGAGCGAACCGCCCAATAGATATTACAAATCAATCTTATTATATTAATATTGACTCTAAATACATAATAAAAAAAACATATATAGACCCGCATCCATAAATTTATTCAACTATGTAAAGAGCCGACCCACGTTTATATCCTCATCCCCCTTCGTCAGATATGCATTTTTCAACAAAGGTTTTCCCTTGTTAAACTATATCTATTCATCAACTGTGTTCTGATTAATATACAAAGCTTATAATCTAACATAATTTAATGACTTTGACTAAAAATATTTTAAGTCCAAAAAACAATTAGTCACCTGATAAGAGCCGTTTGTACGGTGGATAATGCTCGACAACAAAAGCTTAGTATTTTCACATAAATAAATCTATGGAGCAATCATAGTAAGGTAATTAGGGAAGTCAATCGTATCGTGTCGTGTCACTTTTAATTGTGTTATTTTAGTGTCGGATCATTTTTGGTACGTGTCGAGTTTGTGTCAATAAAAAATTATTTAATTCCACAACAACTCATATAATATTATTTAAGAAATAAAAAAAATTATAAAATTTTTATTTTCTGTCTACAATACTCGTTAAATATTTATTTTCAATCTATAATACTCGTTAATTATGTTATTAGTGTCGAACTTTAATTTGACTTATTTATTACTTGTGTCAACTAATTATATATTTTTAAATTTTATGTAAGATCAAATTTGTGTTGAATTTATATCAATGAGTAAAATTGACACCCCTAAACATAACTCCCTTGCCGAGGAGAAGCATTAAAAATGCATCATTGAGAGTTGTGAACCTTCATATTTTAATAGTTCTATCTTGTTGGGCTAACAAAATTTAGGATAAAATATGCTAGTCTCTTAAATATTTGTTTAATGTTTATGTGGTCTCTAATATTTTAATTGTTTCTATTTGATCCTTAAGATTTTTAATTTGTATCAAAGTGATCCAATTCCAAATATCCATCAAAACATCGTGGCGATTCTGGTCACGCGCCAAAGGCATTAACAATTTTTTAATGGACGCTTGTGATTGGACAACATTGATACAATTTAGGTAGTTTAGGGACTAAATAGATACAATTGAAAGATTGTGGACCAACATAGACATTACATGCATACTTTATAGACTAAAAGTGTATTTTTTTACTAAAATTTATTCCCACAATATTTTAATCAAGGGCCAATTATATTCCCAAAAGCACGTTTTTCCCTTAATACAACACTTTAATGTGCTTCTTTATTTCTTAATCAAACTTAGACAACCACCTATATAATTTTCTTGCAGCGTGCGCTGGAAAATGATCTCAAGACTATCTTTCATTTAGGCATCCAAATCTTCCGTATTTGAGAGTCAATTTTTCTAAGAATATAGTCAAATTATGATCTAAAGGTAGACATTTATACCAATTGTCTGAAAAGTTTTACAACAGCCCTTACCACATGAAGCAAGAAGATTGAATTGTAAGCGTTACAAGCCCATCTAATAAGGTGTAACATGAAAATTTAGTAAGTCAAGTATGTAATAACTGATACTATTATTGCTAATGAACTGAGCTGTGTATGAATAAATCAAAATTGAGTCGTATTGAAACTCTTTTTAATTCGTTAATTCATAAGACAAATCAAATTCAAGCTTAATTATGCAATTTACTTTATATATGAGACAAGTTCAAACAAATCTTGATTATTTCAGCAGGTTCTGAATACATTAAAATTGTATATAAATTAATATTATACACAGAATTACTTAATATTGTACAAAATCGATTGTAATACTCAGTTTAAACCGAGATTCGATTTTATATATGAATAATAGTTTGACTTAATTATTTTAATGAGACACGTTGAAACCACGTTCAACCTGGAACTTTTTGCTTGGTTGAAAGAGTCCGAACTTTAAAAAAATTAATAGATTGAGGTTAAACAAGGCATGTAGAAATTTTCACCATTTTGAACTGAGTTTAATTGTTATTCTTTTTTTTTTTTTGCTATTAGAGTTTGATTGTTATTCGGGAAGGAATACATCTATCCCAAATAACGTGTGGTTGATTCCGTTCGATCGTTTGGCGGTGCGGTGGTACTTACTGTTATAAAAAATTGCGCTCGTAAGTTTCAGACCACATATACACTGGCGTATGTCCTTGGATACGAGAGCCAACTTCTTTGTTTTCTTCTCCATAGATAAAAGCCCAACAAAACCCCATTGTAATGGATTTTGATCGATCTCTAACTTCGAATTCTCCATATCACAGCTCAACCCGTCGGAATTTGATCAGATTCCGACCTTTATCATTAACTTTCCTACCAGTTTGTCAGTTTCCGGTCTAGTTAATCCTCAGTTCTACGACCATATTCACCGGAAAAACAAGGTCTCTCGCATGAGTTTGTGTTTTAAATTCTGGTTTTTTTCTGTTTAATATTGTGGGATTGTGGTGATCCGTTCAAAATTGACCTCTGTTTGACTGCTGGGAAAATGGAAGAAAGTAGAGAGAAACAACTAGAAATTTTAGGTCTTACATGTAGTTGTATTAAGGACCTGCTGGTTGGAAATAAAATAATGATGTTTGAAGATTCAAGTGTTCCTTGTTTTTTCTTTTCTATTTTCTGAGCATCCAAACAGAATTATAAACAGGTACTGTTGGAATTCCATGTAAGAATGAATATTCTCTGCTTTTTATGAACTGTAAAGCTTCTTTAATTTCTTCCAGATGCATCCGCTTTGTTATTTTGGTTTTAAAAATTTTAAGATACTTCACTTTCTGAGTCAGATCACATTCTTTTTCTCGGCTACATACGTCTAATTTCGATTTAGTCTTCGTGCCTAGTCATTCTATCTCTGTATATGTGTCAGGTCTTGTGTCGATCCTAAAAACTAGAAAAACTGTCTTATACTGGTGGGGATTGAATTGCAGAGGAGGTGTGTTATGGATCATTTATCGTCCATGCTCAATGGGCTAGCGAGGTCTCTTTCGATTAAGAAGGGGAGAAATTCTGGCAATTGTGGTGGAAGAGAGGCCGTGGAAATGATGGCGAAGGAAGCCAAGAAGAATGACCTGATATTGAGGTCTTCAGGCACTGTTAATGTCGATGGGTCGAAGAATTTTGCATCAGTTTTCTCCAAGAGAGGGCAGAAAGGTATCAACCAAGACTGCTTCATTGTGTGGGAGGTATGCTTAATTACAACAATTGGCAGATATGTGAGCTCATTTCTAATTAAGTCAAAAAAATGGGTATTATTTGATTTCGAGTTTACATTTTCTCAATGATTGGTGTGGCATTTTTTTGGGTTCTCAGTTGATAGATTGTGTAATTTTTTTGTTTGGGTGGTAGGAATTTGGATGTCAAGAAGATATGATGTTCTGTGGGATATTTGATGGGCATGGACCGTGGGGGCATTTTGTGGCAAAGACAGTTAGAGAATCGATGCCTTCGTCTCTGCTATGCAATTGGCAGGAGACACTTGCTGAGGCTTCACTTGATCCGGATTTCGACTTAGAATCAGATAAGAAGCTTCATAGGTTTAATATATGGAAGCATTCCTACTTGAAGACTTGTGCTGCTGTTGATCAGGAGCTAGAGCGGCACCGCAAAATTGATTCCTTCTACAGTGGAACCACTGCTCTGACCATTGTTAGGCAGGTAGTTGAAGGCCCTTGTTCAAAAGCAATTTGCTTTATGAATATGTTAATTCTTTAAATATGAATCTACTTTTCACATTAGAATATGAATATTTAAATTGGTAACCTCTTTTAGTTGTTTATGTTTTACTTAGACAAATCTCATTAAGTCTTCTTCCCGCCTATAAAATTACAAAAAGTTTTAACTACTAGAATGTCTGGTAAAATTAGATTTTTGAATAATTACGTGATAAAATGTCACCCAAAAGTAATTAAAACTAAAATAGCTGTTTAGCACTCAGAAGATGTTAGCAACCATTTTATGTGGGCTGTGTACAATTTATCTTGGACCTAAATACTTTGCAATATGTCTGTTAAGAGTAAAGAAACCTCTGCTAGAGAAATACAACACTCAAAAGGAAATGAAAAATAATACAATTTTCATGGAAGTTAAATTTACCATACAGAGTAATCATACTATCAAATTATCAGGGAAAACACCAAACTTGATTTCTCTGAAGAGTGGGTTGATTATATTCCATATGACAGCTGGGAGAACTGAATAATTAACTACAAAACAAGTTACTTGTTTGCCTTGCTCAGGCTCATTAAGAAACTATCGTGATTGGTCATTTCAAACTAGGCGAACGAAATCAAGTGAAATCATTGTAAAACATGTTTTTAATTCATGATGCAGCATAAGAAATATCAATCAACTTGAGGTTTTTACATTTTACTTCAATATGTAGTAGGGAAAAATCATATTTTGCCTATTAGATAATTTTAAGTGTTACAAAGGGACAATACAGTACTCCCACTGACTTCCGTAGACCATTTTCCTTATTTAGTCAACTGTCATCAACAACCCAATAGCCATAATGGTACTGCTTATAGTGTCTATTTCATGATCACTTTACCATTGAAAGAGTGGGTATCTTGTTTTATAGGTGGTCCTCACAAAGTCACTAATAGATGGAAATATTTTCTGGGTGGTAGTTTTATGGTTTTAGCTCTTGAGAATAAGGGGCTCTTCTTTAGAGAGAATATCTTCCTTTTTCTGGGTAAACAAGGTGCCTTCATCATCTATTGAACTTTTATCCACTCTTTTTCCCACTTGCATCAGAGGATCTATTTCTAATTAAGGATAATGACTTTTATTTCTTGTGCATATGGTAAAGAAGGGTCTCTAATTAATAAATTTTTATTTTTTGGAGGTGTAATTCGATTTAAATAAATTTAGAAAGTAATTTATATATTAAACTTAATAGGTTTAAGTATTCATAAGTTTTTATTAAGCTGTCCCAAGTAGGTACCTCTTCTTCTATATTCATAAGCTACTGTTAATATATTTGGCAGCTTGATTAGTAGGTTATGTGGGGGATTAGTAGCATAGAATTGGCCTTGAAAGTCATAATATATGACTTGCAAACTTTCTGTATACTCAGCTAGCAAGTAGTGTAATACAATACAAGGTAATTGGTCTTATCTTCATTAGTTCCTTTGTTCTTGAGTTGTTCTTTGCCACAAAAAATGCACCTCAGTCAATCCTACCTTGGCTCCAAATATGGGCATTCTTAAAATGGAGTTCTTAATGCAAATAACTTGATGGAACTTAGAAATGTTGGAATGAGTTGTATTGTTTCCCTCTCTTTTCGTTTTTCCTTTTCGTGCCGTGTGAATCTTGATTTCTTTTATTGAGCGTCTTTACTAGTTTTATGCACACACAAGTTCATCAGACATAGCATGATTTGCTTATTCTTCCGAGTCTTTATGATTTGCCAGGGTGAACTTATCTTTATTGCAAATGTTGGTGATTCCCGTGCTGTATTGGCTACCACTTCTGACGATGGCAGCTTGTTACCAGTTCAGCTTACTGTCGATTTCAGGCCCAACATACCCCGTTAGTCCCTCTCTCTCTCTCTCTCTCTCTCTCTCTCTCCCCACTTGCAAAAAATGAAAACACTGATGATCACTGTAAACATGCCAATAACTGTTCACAGAGGAAGCTGAGCGGATAATCCAGTGCAATGGACGAGTGTTCTGCTTGCATGATGAGCCTGGGGTACACAGGGTCTGGCTGCCGAATGAAGAATCACCTGGGCTGGCAATGTCTAGAGCCTTTGGAGACTACTGTGTGAAGGACTTCGGACTAACTTCTGTCCCTGAAGTGACACAAAGACACATAACAGGGAAAGACCAATTCATTGTGCTGGCAACAGATGGGGTATGTATTGCACTTTCAAATTACCATCTCGTTGGAAAAGGAGGAAATGTCTATAGATGCTTTAACTGTGAAAATCAGTCACAGAAATCAGTCTGAAGTCGCAAGCAGACTTTTTTGTTGCCATAAACTGACCCGTTATCTATGCCAAGAACTCATGATGCGAATAGAACCCTAGTGCACATCACTAAACTCACAAACGCACTTTGACTATTTTCAAATATAACTATTGGCTGTTGTTTTCATTAACCTGCCAAAAAAACTGAAAAGTGACGGACAACTTGGGATGTTGGTTATGTTAATTCTATCTTCTTTTGTCTAAATCTTGAGCATTAGGCACCTACAAAATTCAGTCAATTTTCGGTGTCTCCAGGCCTTTTGACATGAATATTTTGGCTGTCTTGGCAAACTTTAGGATCAAAATTAATACTGCAAGTGTTTATTCCTGTTCAGGTATGGGATGTTGTTTCCAATCAAGAAGCAGTGGAAATTGTGATATCAACACCTGACAAAGAAAAGTCGGCTAAACGTCTGGTTGAATGTGCTGTTCGAGCGTGGAAACGCAAGAGGAGGGGTGTTGCCATCGATGATATTTCAGCTATTTGTCTCTTCTTTCACACTTCTCCTTCATCACTTCAAATTTTCCCTGTTACTACCCCTAAATAATAAATAAGAAACAGCAGTGTTAATTGCTTCTCTCTATCCTCTCTCTCTCTCTCTCTCTCTCTCACACACACACACACACACACACACACATAATTTTTAGCCTATAAAAGTGTCTTTCAAAGTTTTTGAAAATGACAAAGGGGACAGGTCTATATAGTTTGGGAAAAAGTAATACTAACCTAAGTTAGCATAATAATGTGTAAAGTGGTAGAATCTCAATTAAGAAGTTCAATATTTTAGTGAGAATAACGCTATTGATTCATATCATTACTACATCATTGAATCAATAAATTAGATCAACTTTTTAGGTATCGATAGTATTACACTTCAGAAAAAAATTATAATCGATTTAAAAAGAAATTTTTTTAACTTTTTATTTAGCGAGAATTGTTAAAAGCTACACATTTCATACTTAATTTGTTAATTAGTTCAACTATATATATTTTTTGAGTAATACTAGATGAACTTAAAAAGTAAACTTAAAAATTAAATTTGATAATCTTAATTATTAAATAGGTAGTGGATCCTATAGTTGGATCTTGACGGATCAAAGAGAGAAGGTAGGAGAACCCTTTGGTTTCTCTTTTTTTTCTTTTTCTCTCTCTCTCTCTTTTATGGAAAATGCAACGCACAATGGGGGGAAAATATGATTTTTACTCTTTTTAGACCCTCTAATGCATGGCTTAAAATGCGGCACACATCCCAACATTTTTTGATTTAATTTTATTTCAAATCAATTAAATCTCGTTTTATTTTAAGTTCAGTATATTTTTATTGAACTGAATTTAAATTATTTCCCGGGTTTTGCATTTAATTCTTGATCGCGTTTATTTTAGTCGCGCGATGTTCGATCGCCTCGTTAAACGCAAAAATTCTGATTGTATTAGAATTCGACAAAAATTGGCTAGATAATTAAATTTCAAGAGACGAATCCAACGGATAGGTTTATTTCGTCATCTAAGTTGCAGAAAAATTTGAGTTTTCAACTCGTATCGTAACGGCTAATTACCATTTTGTCTCTTTTCATAAAATTTTAATTTTTTCGAGTTTTACATTTTTCTCCCCTTAAAAGAATTTCATCCCCGAAATTTCACACGTGTGCAAATATAAGAAAATGCATATGCTACAAATCCTATAACACTCTACGATTAAAGAATGTACCTCCATCCTCAAATAAGAATGGGTAGGTAGTACGGATAGTGTCCTCACGCTCTCATGCTCCTCCTCCACACCACTGTACTGCCACAGCCCTTTCACCAGTCTCACAGTCTTGCCACGCAAAATCTACTCTCGACTATCCATGATACGTAGTGGTCTCTTCTCGAAGGTCCCATCCACATCAACAACCAGCTCACCCTAATCCACCGCATGTGTAGGATCTGGAGTGTACATTCGGAGCATAGAGATATGGAATACTGCGTGAATACTCGATATATTTGGCGGTAATGTCAACCGAAAAACAATTGTGTCAACCCTCTCAAGCAACTCAAATGGCCCAATATACCTCGATGATAGCTTTCCCTACTTTCTAAACTTGACCATTCTCCTCTTAGGCATAACCTTCAAAAAGACATAATCTCCAACCTCAAACTCCAAAGGTCTCCACTGCTTATCAGCGTAGCTTTTTCTGTTGGATCTGAGCCGATGGTCCTCCTCGATTGACCGTCCGTTTGGGGATTAAAAGTTATGCTCATCATCAACTATGTCCCTAGAGCCCGCTAGAAGCTCTATCAGAAGTGAGTCGTGAACATGGGATCCCGATTCTATACAAAAGATACGGGTACTCCCATGCAACCGAACTATCTCCTACATATACAACTTGTAGAATTCCTCCAGTATGAAGGTCATCCACACAACAAGAAAGTACGCCGCTTGCATAAGTTAGTCCACTATCATCCATACCGTGTCATGCCCACGCGAAGTCCATGGTAAGTGGGTCACAAAATTAATAGTGACATGTTCCCACTCCCATTCAATCACCTCTAAAGGCTGAGATAATTCTGCTGGTCTCTGGAACTCATCTTTGACCTGTTGACACGTGAGACATCTACTAACAAAGTCTCCAATGTGTCTCTTCATCCCATTCCAGTAATACTGGTGGCGAAGATCATGGTACATATTCGTTCCACTGGGATACACTACAAAATGGGAGCAATAAAACTCCTTGAGCATCTCTTCTCTCAAATCAGTAGACTAAGGAACCACAATCCTTCCCCTGAATTGAAAACTACCATTAGTGTGAATGGCCCAGCTCTCATTTTTACCCGACTGTGTCTGGTCCCTAATGGACAATCCATGTCTTGTCCCTAGGACTCGATCACTCTACTTAGTAAGGAAGGGGTAGCTACCAGACTTCCTAAAATGTTTTGAGCTTGATCATTTTAGTATAGCCCGAACTGTCCCACATTCTCGAGTATCTGCCACTCCCGGGAAACTATATTAGCCAAGACTCCCATTGACTTTCGACTGAGTGCATTAGCCACCACATTTGCCTTACTAGGATGGTAATGCAAGGTGAATTCATAGTCCTCCAGGTATCTCCATCCACCTACATTGCCTCATATTGAGGTTCTGCTGTGTGAAGATGTACTTGAAACTCTTGTGGTCTAAAAATACCTCAAACTAATTTCCATATAGATAGTGGCACAATGCCTTCAAGGCAAAACAATGACCGCCAACTCCATGTCGTGTGTGGGATAATTCTGCTCATAGCTCTTTAGCTACTATGAACCATAAGCTACCATCCTCCTGAACTACATCGATACATATCCTAGTCTGTCCTTTGAGGCATCACAATAGACTGTATACCTCTGCCCCTTCTATTGAACGATAAGGATAGAAGTTGAAGTAAGCATCCTCTTCAACTCCTGCAATGCTCTCTCACATAAGTCATCCAACAGGAATTTGAGCTTTTCTCTGGTCAACCTAGTCATAGGTGCAGCTAGCCGTGAGAAGTCCTCAATGAACCTTCGATAATACTCTGTCAATCCCAAGAAATTGCGTATCTCAAAGATTAACTTAGACCTCTCCCAACTCAACACTACTTCAACCTTCTCTAAGCCAACTGACACACTCGTAATGGACACAACGTGGCCCAAAAATTTTACCTCCATCAACCAAAATTCACATTTATTGAACTTGATGTATAACTGATGGTCCCTCAAAATCTGGAGAGCGATCCTTAAGTGACCCTCATTCTCTTCCTCAGATTTGGAATAGATGAGAATGTCATCAACAAAGATTACGGTAAACTGATCTAAATAGGGTTGGAACACTCTATGAATAAGGTCCATGAATGCCGATGGGGCATTTGTTAAATCAAAAGGCATAGCGAAAAACTCAAAATGCCCGTATTGCATCCTAAACGTCGTCATAGGGATATCGACCTCCCTAATCCTCAACTGATAATATCTCGTGCACAGATCTATTTTGGAGTAGATCTATGCTCCTTTTAGTTGATTAAATAAGTCATCTATGCACGACAATGGGTACTTGTTCTTGATGGTGACCCAATTCAATGGCCGATAGTTGATACATCGCCTAAGGATCTTGTCCTTCTTCTTGGAAAATAATACAAGAACACCCCCCCCCCCAAGGTGAGGTATTTGGTTTAATGAAACCCTTTTCTAATAATTCTTGCAACTGGGCTGTGAATTTTTGCAACTTTGTAAGTGCCATCCTATGTGACGTTATAGAAATAGGAGATACACCAGGTTGTAACTTAATGGTAAAGTTTATATCCTGATGTGGAGGTAATCCCGATAGCTCATCTGAAAAAATATCTGAATACTCGTAAAGTACCTGAGGTAGACCTAACTCCTGTCTCACCTCGTCCTCAAGTGTAAGGTCCGCAAGCAACTGTTCATGCCAACAAGAGTCATATAAGGCTTGAGGGTAAAATATTGTGCTTTTCTCCCTAAAACTTGAAACAAACACCCTCTGATGTATAGGCAGTGCCCCTTTTCTGATCACAATCGATGATGACTCAGTGTGTCGCCAACCAATCCATTACAAGGATGACGTCCAATTTTGACATGTCCATGACCCTAAAGTCCATATTGAGTAAAATCCTTGAGATATCTAACTCACACCCCCGATATATCTGATCAATGCAAACCCTAGCTCCTAGAGGAGAACTCAAATACAATGGCTCCTCTAAAGTCTCAACCTTTAAGCCCAAATCATTTACACATGATGCAGTTATGAATGAATGAGATGTACCCCATATCAAAAATACCCTTGCCCATAAGCGAGAGAGTAGAAATGTACCATGTATCATCGATTGATCCACCAACTCAGTTTGGGGTGTGATGACATAGACTTGACCTTGAGTCCCTGAAGTCTCCACTTGTAAGCTTTGTCATTGGCTTTGGCCCAAACCCTAGCCCATTTATCCTGATTGTAGAGTCCCCACACGTGAAGTAATAGGGGCCTGTGTAGCACCCTGGAACTAGAACTGACTTCCTTGGCCCATGGTAGGATAAGGAGGAATGAAAAATGTCTATGAATGCCCCACTGATGACTAGGACTAAGATGTCTCGTAACTTTGAGATCTCTGCCTCTAAGGACAATCCCGTTTCAATAACCCAGTTGGTGGCATATAAAACAAGTCCTCTGACAAGCCTGATAGGAAGCCCTGAAATTTCTTCCACCTTGAAAGGATTAACCTTAGCTTTGGCTTTGATAGTCTTGGCCCTACCCTTGATACCCTTATGGGGTGGATGTCCTTTACTTCTTCCCAAAACTAGTGGAAAAGGAGGGGAAGAGGGCTGAATCTCTTTCTTCTTATCCTTAGAACCCGCCTCCTGAATTTTTTTAGCATCTTCCACTTATCTCTCAATAGTCATGACTATCTCGACCATTGAGTCTACTTGTAGGTGGTGGCTTATAATCTTTCTCCGGATGGACAACTTCAAGCCATTCTCGAACCTCCTCACTTTGGCCAAGTCAATGGCCACATAGTAGCTGGAAAAATGGGCTAGTTCGATGAACTTAGCCACGTATTTTATCACCGTCGTAGTACTTTGCTT